GGAAAGGGGTTATCTTTTTAGTGGCTCAGAAAAACATTGCTTACTGACCTTATAAAGGGCCGCAATCCCTCCATGTGTTCCAAACACAAGGCTGGAAAGGAATATCATAAAGAGAGAACACAGATATACCGCAGCAGTCATTGGTGCCAGGGACCACCCATAGAAAAAACCCAAATCACCAAGGAGACTCACTTGCACACAAAGTACCCTTTAAAACAAAATATTGCAGTTTCTCAGACACTTTTAAATAAATGTTTAAAATGTTCAAGGCATAAAAGAAGGAGCAGGGACCTTACTTTAAGAACTGGATTTTATTTTAGGAAGAGAACATGCATATTTTTTTTAAAAAGCTTGCAGACATTTTATAAAGTAACTAAAGTAGAAATGATTGAGCTATAAAGTGGATGCAGAGGAAGAGGAAATTAGTGAAATGTAAGGAGCATCTGATGAAACCATAGGGGATGCATCATAGACAGAAGGTGGGAAATTTGGAAAAGAAATGAAGTGACATAGACGATAAATAAAAAGCATCAATAGATAGCTAAATAGGAATTTCAGAGGGAGGAAAGAAAGAGTCTGATGGTGAAATAATATTAAAACTTTTTTTTAAGCTTAAAGTTAAGAAAGAATCCTAAATTTGAAAAATCATACAGAACCCAAGCAAGATAAATAAAATGTCTGCATCTGGGAACCTTATGTTAAAATTGAAGAACATCAAAGATAAAGAGAAAAAAATATAAAGCTATGAGAGATAAGATTGTGTAAAAATGAATAAGTTCAATGGATAATTGACTTTTGACTTTTCACGCACAATCTCTGTTTTCATAGATATCAGAAAACACTACAATATCTTCAAAATTCTAGGGAAAATTAAATTGTATATCCATTTAAATGTCATTCAATACAAGGCAAACATTTATATATATTTCTAAGAAAGATTACTACTCACTGACTCTTCTACTAAAGAATGGCTAAGGGATTCACTTCAACTAAAAAGAAACTGGAAGTGCCTTCCAGAAGGAAGGAGCAGGAAGCCCACACATGTACATAGGGAAAATTGATTTATGTCTCAGTAGCAGACCACTGGGTAAAAGATGCACTATTCAATAAATGATGCCGTAGGATTTCACTCTTCTCCAGAGGAAACCAAAATGAAATTGGATCCCTATTTTACTCTCTGCATATAAAAATCACTTACAGTGGAATAATCTGAAAGGCAAAACTACTGTAGGCAAAAATATAGTAATATATCTTAGTAACCTTAGGGTAAGAAAGAATTTATTAAACTATAAAGAAAAGGCTTAATAAATTTGATGACGTTAAAAGAAAAAAAGAAAAAAAGGAAGGCAGGAAGGCAGGAAGGAAAAAGGAAGGAACGATTAAAAGGAAGGAAAGAAGGAAGGAAGGGAAAAACCCAAAAGGAAGAAAAAAGAGATGGATGTATAGAACAAAGCTTTGAAGAAAAAGTTTGAATGACCAGAAACATGTAGGGAAGAGGCTTAACTAGAAATGAAAGAAAAGTGTATTTAATCACAGTGGAATAGCAGACTGGCAAACAAGGTAAATGGATAAATATCAAAAGATATTGGAGAGAATGTGACATAAAAAACCAGAGACAACTTATGTCCATTTATAAGCATGAATGCATATTTATAATAGTCACTAAACCAGGATATAACATACTCATAAAATGGAACACTATATGGCAGTGAAAATGAATGAACATAAACCATATGTGTATGTATGGATGATTCTGGCACACAATGTTGAGTAAAGTAAGTTGCAGAATGATTCATATTCTATAGTACCATTTATATAAAGTTTAAATATTCAAAGTGATATCCCAGATGGCTTGAAGATTCACAGCTCATAAAGTTATGAAGATGACAAATTCAAGAGGAAGAGTTGTGTGATCAGGAAGCATTTATGGGTGTTTTGCCTGTGTTGTAAATGTGTTGATCATTAACTCAGAGGTAGGAACATACACATTTACGTTTTATTCTGTATACCTGATTATATCTTCAGTAATGCAAATGTCTTTCTAAAATGAAAAAGAAAATCAGGAATGAGTAAATGGAAATGGCCCGGGAGCATTACTCTTTCCACTTCTTTTTACTGGGAAGGAAAGAAGAAAAGAGACAGCATTCTTTTTTTGACTCCAAATAATTTGGTAGAATTCAAAAATTTGCACAATTTTGTAAGCAAGCTGACTTTGAAACTAGGATTATGAACTCAATATATTCAACTGTGTACAGTACTTTTTACTGTTTGGATTTTGCCAGGTACAGAGTCTGAATCATGATGCATGCAAATTAGAATTCTGTTTAATTAAATCAAGAGGAAAGAAAACCTTTAAATGATTTTTTCTTTATATTTCTTATCTCTAATCTCATGTTTTGAAAAGAAAAAATCTCATACATACTGAAAAGCTGTCAGTTGAAAATATCAAACAATTTAAAATACATAAACATTATGTACTACAAACATGTACTAATAAAAAATTTTAAAATGTATAATAAGCATTCAACCAAAGAAACTGAAACTTGATGATTAGGACCTGCAGTCCTAATGTAGATTGTAATTGAACTTTTTTGTTCATTATTTCCAATTCTAGATGGTAAGTTGTATATCTTCACATATTTTATTACATTTAGTCAGCATAAAACTTTCAAAAATGGAAGTGCTCACCATCTATGCCTATTTAGTGATATGGTGTAGATATTTTTAAATGTGTTTTAACAGTTATATGCTTTAATTGTCTCCCCTTTAAAATTAAGTCAGTCATTTTCTGTGTAGGGTACAGTGTGTTCTGTACTAAAGAAATTCCCTGCTTGGAACAAAGGTGTTGAATAATTCTTCCAGAGACCTTTATTTCAAAGATAGAATTTTATTTCACAGGAAATGTGGATCTGTATTTTACTAGTAATTAGCTTTTAAAATAGGAGCGATTTCATTTTCTCCGTTTATACTTGGAAACTGGACATGGAATTTGGACTTGTGTGAAACTATCAGGAACGCACCACGTTCTAGCCAAAACTAAAGCTGTGTCTCCCTGGCCTTCACCTGGGACCGCTGCCTCCAGAGCACTCCTGAGGAGACATCCAGGCAGTAGAACCAGATGACTTATGACCCTAAGTGCTCTGAGGGAGCTGTTTCGGGTTGGGTCACTCTCACCCCCTTCTATTTTCTCCTTATCTCCAGTGACATTTTCATTGAATTAGTAATGATAAAGACCCTTGGTAAATGTTCAAACTTACTGGCCCCATTTCTAGATAGTCAAATGGAGGCTCAGGGGGGTAAGGGTCTTGCCCAAGGCTCACAGTTAATAATTGCTTAGAGACAAGACTGGAACCCAGGGATTCTGACTTCAAAATCACTTACTTAACTACTTTGCCACTCCTCTTCCCTTATTTGATGACATTCAACTAGGACATTGGTGAGAGTTTTCACTATAGGCAGAGTCTGTCACATTTTCTGTTACCACGCCCAGCCGCTGTTTTCACTGGTAAGTTGGGGTTTAGATCTCAACCCTAGCCTTTTACCCATATACGTACTCAGTTTTACTAGGAAATGCTCAGTAGTTTTCTAAAGTGATGGCACCAACTTGTACTCCCCAAGACACTTTATAAGAACACTTCTTCTTCAACATTTAAAATTTTTGGTCATCTGAAATTGTGATTTTAAACTGTGACTTTAAATTTTATTTCTTTGTTTATTAAGGAAGTGGAGTTTTTTCACATGTTTGAAGCTATGTATATTTTCTCTTCTATGAAATGTCCATTTATGTCTTTCACCAATTTTTATATTGGGCTGTTTGTCTTTTTTAATATTGATTTATAGGAGTTCTTTACATATTCAAATACTAATCTTTTATCTCTTATAGGTATATCAAATATATTCTTTTAGCTTATATCTTCTCATCCACTTTTAGAGCTTCTAGATAAATAGAACTTCTTAATTTTAAAGACATCACATTTATTAATTATCTTCTTTAAAATTCTGAGCCTCTTTAAAAATATTTAATATATCTTGCTGTACTCCCAGGATGTTATGAATTATTTCTCAAAAATTATAGTTTTTCCATTCACATGTAAATCTTTAATCTAATTGGAAGTAATGACTTTCATGTATGATAAGAGGTAAGGATCCAATTTAATTTTTTATTCATTGGATAACCAAATCCCCCAGTACCATTTCATCCGTAGTTTCTCCACTCCCCCTGGTCAGTGTCCATCCATCATTTTACCATTAATCAAGTTTTCTTATTAGTGTGAGCTGTTTCTAACCATTTCATTGTGTTTTGTTGGTCAACCTTGTCTAATACCATAGTGACAGTTCCCATTTTATTAATTAGTCATGGTAAGGGTTAAAAAAGTTCTTTACTTTATTCTCCTTTAGGGGTATTTTAGCTGTTCTTAGTCCTTTGCTTTCTCACAAACATATGAGAATCAGTTTGTCAGGTACCATAAACAATCCTGTTGGTATTTTTCATTGGATTGCATTAAAGCTATAGATTAATATGGGAAGAAGTGAAACCTTAATGATGTTATTTGATTTCCCATTTGTGCCTATTAAGTTCTTTAAACAAGTGGAATTTTTGTTTGTTTGTTTTTGGTACCAGGGATCGAACTCAGGTCCTTCTGCTTTCAAGGCAGGCAGCGGAACCACTGAGCTAAATCCCCGGCTACAAGTGGAATTTTTTTCAGAAAGCATTTGCACATCTTCTGTCACATTAACTCCTAGATGTGTTATATTTTTCTTGATATTGTCATTGATATTTTGTTAAAAACTAATTTGTAAATTACTATTGGATGTAGTTATATAATAGTTATTAATTATGAAAAACCTTGCTTTTCATTAACTGTTTCCCTTTCCCCCCACACATGCAGCTTTCTCTTCAGCCTTTCTTTCAGTTAGGTGTGGTCATGTGATTGACTTCTGATGGTTGGGCTCTGACTCATAAACATCTCTTCAACTGCCCTCTCTTTCCCTGTATGCAGCTGGCTGTACATACCTGGAAGACTTTGGAAGTCATGTGATGGATGAGTGACATCTCTTAACAGCTGGGCTCCCAAGTAACTTTGTGGAATAGGAACCCTCCTATACTTGCTACTCATAAATTCAACCTCACCTGTTGAGAAATATAACTGTTTTTCCAGCCACTATGATATATCAACTACAATAAATTAGATTGTCTCAATTAATGCACATTAATTTTAATACTGGAGATTTGATAAGCATATTTATTAAGCTGATTATCTGTTGATTGTTTGCTTTTTCTGCATAAAACATTGTGTCATTTGGGAATAATGAGCTTTGTTTATCTTCCTTCATATTTTTATATATCTTATTTCTTTTTCTTGTACTGCATTACTAGCAAAGAGATCTTGTACAATGTTGAATAAAAGTAACTATAGTTTTTAAGTTGCCTTGCTCCTCAAAGGGAATTCTTTGTTAACATTTTACATTAATTGCTGTGGTTGGTGTAGGTGTTTCATATAGGAGTATGACAGAAAAGCACAGTAAATGTTCAAATTTTAAAAAATTTATTACAGTAAAAGATACATTGCCATTAATCCCCCTGAAAATTCTCCTCTTTGATTCAAATACATTTATCTTACCATTCTTGGCATGTTCTGAAGTAGTTCTGGAAGTCCTCTTTTGTAAGTGTCTTCAGTTGGCTCTTGTGGCTGCCTCACTGTCTTGAATTGATTCAAAACACTTACATTACGTGGTCATTTTGACTTGGGAAAAAACCGGAAGTCTCATGGTACCAGATACAGTGTGTAAAAGTGGACAAGGACACACCATTATGTTTTGACAAGCCTACCTTTCCTTTGGATGACACTTAGTAGCAACATTCACCATATTTCTGATCCCATTCAGCTAAGGTTATTCAAGTAAAGAGGACTTCCAGAGCTGTTTTTAAAACTGGCAAGAATGATGGGATAATGTGTTCAAAGTATGGGGAGTATTTTGGTAATGATGGATGCAGTGTGTCTTCTATGTCATAATTTTTAAAAATATAAATATTCATTATATTTTTTGACCATATAGCATATATCCTTTATTGGGATCTGAAAGTTCTTTTATTACTTTGTCATAAGAACTTATCATAAATGGATTTGATCTTATTTAATGATATATTTGTATCTTTAGGAAATAATGTCTTTTCTCCATTATACTGGTTATGTGCTGATGTATTTTTTTCACGAGTGACATTGTCCTATAATTTTACTGTCCTCGCTTGGGTTATAAATCAAATAAATAGCAACAGACTATCTTTGTTTACATTTTTATGGTGTTCATCATAGACTTATTTGCATTAATTTTGATCTTCAAAAATATTACATTAGAACTACGCTCGAGTTGGGGGCTTGGTTCTCCCGGAAACCAGCCTGATGAGCACTGACTGAGCTCGGCAGAGCATGTGACCTTGGAGGCTCAGGCTACATGCAGATTCTATCCTTTTCTCCCTGGAACAGCCTGACTCCTCCCTTTGGTCTCCTGTGCCATGTGGAGACTCCAGTTTCCCAGAGTTGGGCAGATGCTACCAGGCAGATTTGGTGCTAGCTCATGTTAAAGAATTGTGCCTTTTTCAGCCTCTGAGCATTTCTTCCTTTTTTTTTTTTTTCAATAGCTCCACAGTGCATTTAAAGAGAGTTTTAATATTTTATCCAGCTGTCTTTGTTATTCTCCTCCAGAGACTTATTCAATATATTTAGTCCAGTGTGCCCTGAGAAATGGTAGTCTGGAATGTTCATTACTGTAAGGTACAAGTTGCTGAGTTGTCTGCTGAGCTAAGCCAGTGTCTGATTACTGACCCTGGCTTTACCTAACTCTACAGCAAGGCAACCAGACTGTCCCAGTTACCCTTTCTAGAAGCAGCACTGAGAGGCTGTCCTGTCTGGGAAATGACACACATGCGGAAACCTGTTGCAAATGATAATCATTTAAAGTTGGGTTTGTTTTTTGAAGACAGCTGATGCTTTTATATTCCAAGAACAGGAGTTCTGAGTGTAGTAACTCTTTAAATCTCATAATCACCTGTGAGTGATTGGTATGGCATCGCCCTAATCCTGATAGTCTGGATGGGATAAAAGGGGCAGAAGGACACTGTTAAGTGTTAACCCTTGTTGTTTTTGCTGTCTTCTGCTACTATGAACTGTTTTGCCCTCTGCCACCCTGTCTTGGAGCCAGCCAATTATGGACTGAAACCTCTATAAACTATAAGCCAAATAAACTCTTCCTTTAACTTTGGGTGTCGGGCATTTTGTCTCAGCAATGAGAGAAAAGGAATTAACACACCACCATACATGACAGATACTGTTATTGTCAGCTCTGTTCACACAGAAAAAAAGAGGGGATTGGATATTTATTCATTTGCCTTGTCTCACAGGGAGAAAGTAGAGGGCCAGGATCTGCGCTCAGTTAGCTTTGCTGCTAAGTCCATGCTTGAACCATTATCCTATACTGCCTTTGATGGTTGCAGAATAAAGGGATTTGGTGAATGTTAGTCCAAACCAGTGATCAACAAAGAGTTCCCATATTAACTCAATTTCTTGTTTCTCACAGTGGCTCTTGTGGCTAGAGGTATAAAAGTTAAGTCCCTGTGTTCTCAGCTAGCCATCACTTCATGCCCTGGGTATGTTTATTGATCTCTGTAAAGATTTTTGCCAGAGCAAAACCACCTAATATGTGATTTGCATTCAAAACATACTAAATCTTGGAGGAGTAGGGATAATCTGAACATTGATTATGTGCATATGTTTCTGTAGTCTTAATTGAAGACCACAGTAGTGTAAAGTACTGCACATCAGCTCTATTAATTGCAAAGTGTGATCCAGTTAAACTTGCACAAATAGATAACAACATAAAGGAAGAGCCTCAGATAGTTTTGTTGTGTCTTTGAAGGGTTGAGTAGACTACATCCTAGAGTCTTATAACTCCTTGGGTTCTACAGCCACATTTGGACCCTGGAGTATATTTAACAAATGCAAAGGTAGTGTACTTTAAGTCTTATGTAAACATACTTGGTTTCCCCAATAAATAATTTGGTAATATTTTCCAATAATTATTGATTTAGGGTTCAAGAATATAAGACTAAGAATAAAAATTTGGCCCTTTTTTTAAAAAATAAAAGTTATATTTCACCATAAAGTATATGAAAATTCATCATTTTTGAATCCATAAAAATTCAACTTTGATATTTTTCTTCTTTTTTCAGTAAATGTAACTTTTATTGGTGTGTATTGATTATACAGGGTAATGAATTTCACTTTGGCATTTTCATGTATACATATAAATGCCTGGATCTCACCTACCTTGCCTTATTTTTCTTTTCCCCCCGATCTTTCTTTTCTCAAATAGTCCCCCTTCTACTTAATGTCATATTTTTCCTCCCTGCACTCTACATATGAGAGAAAACATGCAATACTTATCTTTTTTGAGTCTGACTTATTTCTTTTTTTTCCCATTAAGTTTACTGATACATTTTAGGTATAAAATACAGTTACATTCATCATTGGGATCTTGTAACTTTACATGATGTATCTTGGTTCTTATTTTTTTCCCCTTCCCCTGCCCTCCATTCACCTCCTCTATCCTTCTGTATTTGCAAAGACTTTGTTTCCACTTTTTTTCCTTTTCTCTTATTTTTTTCTTTTCCCTTCTTTCATTTCCCCTACCCCTACCACTTCCCCTACTCCTTTAGACCTTGTCATCCTGTTACACAATATCAATTATACATTTTGTAAATTACAGTATCAAAATTTAGAGGACATTACCACACATTTTACAGAATTTAAAAGGATATAGAAAGTATATTACAAAAATCTTTTTTGAAATAAATTTGACAACTTTTTTTTCCCATTAAGTTTATTGGTACATTTTAGGTATAAAATACAGTTACATTCATTATTGGCATCTTGTACCTTTACATGAGTATCTTGGTTCTTATTTTTTTTCCCCTTACCCTGCCCTCTCTTCACCCCCTCCACCCTTCCCTATTTGCAAAGACTTTTTTTCAATTTTTTTCCTTTTCTCATATTTTTTCTTTTCCCTTCTTTCTCATCCCCTACCCCTCCCACTTCCCCTGCTCCTTTAGACCTTTTCATCCTATTATACAATATCAATTATACATTTTTAAAATTACAATATCAAGATCTAGAAGACATTACCACAGATTTTACAGAATTTAAAAGGATATTACAAAAATCTTTTTTGAAAGCATATTACAAAAATCTTTTTTGAAATTAATTTGACAACTTCTAAGAAGTACCTTGGAAGACAAATTAATGGAACTAACTCTGGAGGAAATATAAAATTTGAATAGCACCTATTAAAGAAAGTATATTCCTAGCTTGAAAACCTACCTATATGA